ATGTCAAGAAAAGATTCCTATTTTCTCAGTTGCACTACTTATCTGACCTATGAGTCATACATTTTCACTTCATAGTGTACAAAATATTTTAAGCACCACTTTATACAATGATTATTTCTTAGCAGGGTTTTTCCTTAAAAAATAGCAGTCAGCAGGTAGTGGAGAAGCAAACTCTAAAATAAAGATCTTGTTTCTGCTGCTAGAGCTGCTCAGGGAAAAGGACGTGGATCTAACATGAACCTCAGTCAGATGGTAGAGTTGAGGTCTGAGTTTGCTGGGACTTTCCTGTTGCTCGTGCACGTTTCCCCTCACTATTGCCTGCTGGCAGGTGGGTGCAATCCTCTGCTTAGTCCAAACTCCCTGCCTAGGCAGTGCTAAGTCACACACAGCTTTTGCAGAGGACTAGAGGGTGTTTTCTGGGGAATCGAACGCCTGAAAACATGCATTCCCAGACCCAGGCACTGCCACAGGAGGGTCTCTTTCAGGACCACATTCCCACTGCCACCCCCAAATGGGCAACAGTGTTTGCAGACTGCTGGAGCCAGGGGACCCATTAGCGAGGACACCAGCATCCCAAGCCAGATGCTTCACAATCGTGTCAATACAGGCAGCTTAGAAAGCTTTAAGGAAAAACCTAGACCTCAGCTTTTGAAGAAAAGTGAAACAAAATAAACTACAGTGATGCAACTAAGGGCAAAACCTTCTCTCATGACTTTAGCCAATATGAATTTTACATGTGTTTGGATTACAGGATAAAAATGTGTATTCTATCAGAGATCTGCCTTGATGGTTGAAAGCAACAAGTTTCAGGAAAAAATGACCTGCTAGGTCTGGCTTTTCCAAGCTCCCAATTTTGTGCACTGATAACACAGAAATATAGACTCTAGGGAAGGCATGTAACAAATGATTAACCCTTAGATGAACAAATTTCAAATACACAAACTAGTCCTACTAACAGGGAATTACCTTGACCTTTGCTCAAAATGTAAACAAAACTTATTAAAAATATTTCTCAAGGATTTAAAGCATTTTGGAAAAGGCTTTTGCACAGTCCATCTATGCATGCTCTGAGTCCAGATGAAGTCTTGTCAGCAGGTCTGAGGTGAGAGAGCTTCATTTCTGCATCCCTCTGATGAGGAAAGGTGGCAGAAGCTGGTTCAGGTCTCGCACTTATTCTGGGAAAACTAATGAGTGCTCTAGGTTATGTCAGCATTAATGATCTCACAGGCATCATTTCACTACCCAGACACTGTCAGAGTTCATGGTGTTTGTTCTACTGCATCAGAAGGAAAAGAAAAGCAGTTTTATACTGCCTGGCAATAGCTCTGCCATAGGCTTTGTTGAGGCAGATTTCTTAAGCTGCCTAACTCACACACGGTGCAGGAGTTCTAGCTCACTTGGGGCATTTTTAAGCAACCTCCCCTGCACATTATGGCTTTAAAAAAAAAAAAAAAATCAAAATTTCAGACCTAGTTTTTCATTATTCATATAAAGCCTAGTTTATTTAAACATGTAAGCATTCCTTTAATCCTTCTTTAAGAAAAGCAGTCAGGCATGTATTTAGATCCCACAGTTTTCAACAAAGTAAAACCAATTGATTTGATAGTTAAGCATGAGCTCAACTAAATCAGGTCTTTTACACCTGTAAAAATAGCACTGCTGAGCCAGAATGGGAATATTTATTCTTGCTTTTTGTGCTCAAGGTCCAGAGGAAGGAGAAACAACATCATTCTAAGGGTGCGGATGATACTCTTCCCTTCACCGCAAAGTTGATGTAAGAATTTTTTCCCTCTTTCTTTCCTGACGCTTGCTCCTCTTCCTGCACTGCAGCTTACAGCCCTCGGATTTGGATCAAAGCCGCTCTTTGTGGGACCATATTACAAATTGTATTACCGAAAGGATCTGGGTTAAAAAATAAAATGCTTTCTTCTCTTGAAGGTTTAGTCGTCTGGTTTGCAGCAGAAACACAGAAACAGCTGTTCCACAGGATGGGGTGAAACGAACTATGGACGTGCAAATGAATAGCTGGAGGAGGGAGCTTCTCAGACGAGTTTTCTGCCAGTGAAAACAGTCGACTGAACCGCACACTAAGTTAAAATCCACAGTAGGTGAAATTCAAAGCACTCTAGCACTGGTTAAAGAGTGCATATTATTTTTCTGTACTTACTGTGCCCCACCAGAGAGCATCTGCATATGTGGAGAATTGGTTATTTGCATCTTTTTCCACCAGATAAACCAGGAAAGATGAAAAGATGAGTACTAAAAATCCTATGTACCAGGCTGTGATTAATTCCTAGATAAAAGAAATCATAGATCAATATCCATTTGAAAGATTGAACAGAATGGCATTTCAAGGAAGACATAATGAAAAGATCTATGTACTTTTTCGGTATTTGAGCAGTTAAAAGTCAAATGCTTCCCTACAAATTTTCTCTGAAAGTGGACCAAATCAGCAACTTCACCAATATATATTAAATTAAAACTGCATATCAAGGACAACATCTTCAACATATTCTAAAAACTGTTAGCATTTAACATGGCCTGATGTATCTGTGCTAATGCCAATTACAATTGATGTTACTTCAGAAAATTTTAGGTGTTCTGCTCAAAACTGATAAATATATTTCTTCTTGGCATCTTGTTGAATCACATCAAGTGAAGATATCAACCAGACAAAATCAGCATCTAGGATTACCTACCTTGCTATGTGCATAAACTACTGAACCTAATAATTTCCAAGTGCCTCCTCTTCGGTCCATGCGCACCATACGAAGGATCTGTAGGAAACGAAGACTTCTCAGTGCTGATGTTGCAAAAATGTTACCCTGAGTTTTTGCAGAAACAACTGCTATTGAAGCGATGAGAACAATGATGTCTGAAAGAAATACATTACAGAAAACATTAATGTCCAAGTACCAATAAATAACACATACATGTAAATGAACTGAACGAGGGGACAAAAGAGAGACTCCTGCAGTAGGTGGGAATCCGAGGCAATGAGATTCCTGTTTGAGGTAGGGATGTGACGTAAGGGCTGGTGTCAAAAACTACCTCGGGACCCTCCAGTGTGAAAACTGAGGGTAATAATTTTGAAAACATATGGATAAAAGGAGCAGTGTTGAAGGAACCTCATGTAGGAGTTTTGAAGCCTGGTGTAGCAAACTGTACAAATCAGTAGATGGATTAGAACTTTTTTCCTTTACATGTTTTCCCATAGCAACTTTCCTATGAAAAGGCAAAAAAGAAATCAAAGGTAAGAAAAAAATAGAGCAGCCCCAGTGGTGAGAGTCCAGTGGAACTGGACTTACAAGCACATGTATTAATTTCCTATGAGTACAAACACCGTATGGCTGAGGCATGTAGTTTCTGGACACAGCTCCCCTGATGTTGGCTTTAAACTGAAAGAAGGTAGATTTAGATTAGATGTTAGAAAGAAATTCTTTACTGTGAGAGTGGTGAGACACTGGAACAGGTTGCCCAGAGAAGCTGTGGATGCCCCCTCCCTGGAAGTGTTCAAGGCCAGGTTGGATGGGGCTTTGGGCAGCCTGGTCTAGTGGAGGGTGTCCCTGCCCATGGCAGGGGGGTTGGAACTAGATGGTCTTTGAGGTCCCTTCCAACCCAAACCATTCTATGATTCTATGATATACCATTTCCTGGAAAGGAAGGAATACAGTGCTGGGTACTCAGAAGCATTCTTTTAGCTGGCAGCCTGTAAAGTTTGTTGAAGCCCAGCAAGTGTTAGGATTTATTTCTTCAGGTCACAGATTCAAGCTGTGAGAGCAAGTTTGTTCTGCATGAACTAATCAGCCAACTGCCCTTACAGCCAGAACAGCATTTAAAGGGAGATGAGGAGAAGCAGCACAGTGATGACACACAGATGCTGTGAGAAACCATAATGTTCTTTTATGATGATTGGGGCAGACACACTGGTGTGCACGGAGTGGAAAAGCACAGAACAAGCTCTGTGTTACTTCATCACCTCATAATTAATTTCCTGACCTTCTTTAAAAGCTTAAAGAGCCTTTGTAAGCAATACTTGTTTTAAATCTTAGTATTTTGTAGTGTTTGTATGTTTCTACGGAAGGATAATCTAAATGCATGTTTGCCAGTAAAGAACTGAAAGCAAGTTCTTTTTGACATGAGTTTTGCTTCTTTTGTGTTGGGTATGAACACTCATCCTGCCCCAAGCGTAGCTCCTACAAGTCAAGAATGACCCAGTAAGTGAAGAGGCCCCCCCACAGGCAAGCGGTGAGAGAGACTGGCCATACCTACAAGCAGAAGAGTGTTTCCTTAGCCTGCTCCAGTACAGTAGGAAAGAGCCCTGGTTCATTCTGCTCACTCACCAAAGTAAGTTGAGGTCCAAATACCCTTTGCCTGTAATCATCCCAGGTTTCTCTGAACTCAACTATGGATGGCTTTGTCCTCTTATTACAATACTAAGAGTACAGACAACCTGTGGTTTAAGGAGTCTCTTGTTAAATTGTGAACATCCTTGTCACAAGATGCTAAAAGTTTACATAGGTTCAAAGCCAGCAGGATGATCTCATGAGAGAAGATTTAATCGTGGACTACTAATACTAAAAGCCTAATTCTGGCTCAGGATGTCTCTGAGTAGCAGGCTGTGGGAGCTGAGAGATTTTATGGAGAAATATGACTGTGTGTTTGCCCTGCTTGCATAATCTTCCCTGACTGTTCACTACTCGCTAGTGTCACTGTTGGACCTCGTGTGTTAGACTAGGCTGACCTTCTGCCTGTCTTACACTCTGACATTTTAAAATGCCTTTGGGTACTACATAGGTGGATCATAGGTGGCTACGATATAACTGGCTACCAAAAAACTGGATTTGCTTTGTAAATCCAACAGGTTCAGAGACTGAGAAGAGCCAGAAATGGGTAAAGTGCCCTGAGGCATCTTTGCACAGTACAAGTCTCAAGAGCACAACAACCAAATGCAGGAGTGCTGGGTGAGAATTCAGAAGTGGGACAACTGACCAGGAAACGATAAAGACATAACAAATTCTAATGGAGATCAGAAAAATAGATGGAGTGGGATTCAGCTCCACATGAAGATATTTAAATTTAGGTGCCTACTTGTGAAGCAGGTGTCTGAACTCCCTGTGCAGCACAAGGAAATCACGTCAACTGAGAGAGGTGCAGCTAATCCTCAGAAAGGCTCCTGCTGACTCATACTCTGGGCTTGGTACAAAAAAGGCTCCATTCAGCTGCCCATATTAATTTGTCCAGTGCCATCTGAGATGCCTTAAGGTATCTGAGACATGCCCTAGGTCTGGCAGCTATGCTCTCAGACCTGGGAAGGCTGTGCCCTTCAGAAGTCGCTGGAGAGCAGGGAATATCATGTAACAGCGGACACCTCTATGTACTCTGCTGAACTAAGCCCTAGGTCTTGACCGACTATACTGGAAGTATAGACATGTAGCACACACGTACCCAACTACAAGCAAGCTTCTATATTTAGGTGTGTCTGGATCTGAGGCTCACATAGGGTGTGCTGGAAAGCCTTGAGCAATACTGGCTGTGCTGACTAACATGACAGCAAGGCTAGCTTGGCTTGTCCCACACTGCTCCGAGCAGAGCAGCAAATTTAACAGCCATTTTTAATTAGTGGTGACTGGCTATCAGCAAATCAGGTAGCATTAGAAAAGCAGCGTGTACTCCTGCAAATCATTCTTAGAACTTAAAAAAGAGTAAGGTCACCCAAATATTATGAATTATGCATTTGGTCTGGAAATTATTAAAGTCTTTCCTGGGGGTTTTGGTTACCCTCAGCCACTCTCAATAGGACAGTTTTTTACAAAAGCCAATGATTTTCCTCTGCCTTTATTCCTGCCCATGCCAGGAGATCTGGCAGCTTTCCTTACAGCATGGAGTTCCTTGGAGGTCCCCCACTAAAAAAAATTCAAATGAATTCAGCACCACACACCATCTGCCCTGTGCTGCTGAGAACCCTCTGCCCCACTGAGGGTCTCTGGTCCCCTCTGACCGTGAGAGACAAAGAAGCCAACGGCAGCATAGCTCTCTTTTCCCGTTTTTAAAGTATTAGTCCAAGGGCGTTATCTACTTGGTTATACCCTGCTAGATGGAGGGTAGGGATGGGAAGAGGCAAAGGGAGGAGAGCCTGAGGAAACGGGCGAGCAGAAAATGCATCAGCACATGTTTAAAAAATAATTGGAGGGAAGAGAGCCTTCCCAGGCTGCTGGCGGTTTTTTCACACCTTACTCTCTCATCTTCATCATCTCTTCACAATACCCACGCCCCACTCTCCCCAAACCACCCCCACCAACTCCTCAGGCTGGGAATATGGAAGGAAAGAGTGTGTCCATTGCCTAAGGCAGCCCTCCCTGGCTGTGTGTCCCTGGGAGGCAGTGAAGGCAGGCAGGCACATTATTTCAGCATAGTTTAACTTGCCAGGAACAGGTGTAAGACAAATCAAAACAAACCCTTCTTGGAATGAAATCAGAGTCCAAAGAAAAGTTTGCAACAGTTGAAAGTCACTTCTGAATATGTTAAACTGGCTTGGTTTTCTTATCTAAGTGTCCCCCGGAAAAATGAAAAGTTAAGTACTTTATGATTCTCTCCCTGCTACATTTTTATCCAACATACCTCAGGTGCCATTTGCCCTCTTTTAAGCAAGAGACAAAAATATTCTTCTGAACTTCCTTCATATTCCACTTGAATTTAGCTAATATCTCCCTGGTGTGTCTGTATCTTAAGAATGCTTTAGCAAACTTCTAGCAATATTGTCCTCTTTATCTTTTAGTGGCAAAACTAGGAGATCAGGAAGAAGTAAATAGCAACATTTCAATTAATTTATTGAGGATTCAAGTGAGAGTGGGTAATGGGCAGTATAATTCCAAACTTCTCTGTAATGACTTATTAGAAGTTTCTGATGTACATTTACTTCTTTGATTTTTTCAAAGCTAATATCTTGTGTATGACCTTCCAAAATGTTAAGCGTCTCTTCAGCTATGATGCTGTTTTTATTCACTCTTTAGTGAATATCTCTCATATTTTTATCCTTGCAGGTAGCATCCTCCCTCATTAACTCCAGTCTGAGATTTCAGATCTTCTCAGCAGCTTTTGCAGTGTTCACTTTTGAACACTTCATTTCAACTTAAATTTCAAACAATGAATTCTTCCACTTCAGACAGTTCACCTGGTACCTCTCAAGAAACCCCTGAGTTTAGATGAAAGTTTTGTTAATAGTAACTTAACAAAGCCTTTTTTAGTTGGCAGCCACCATGCTAACAATCAGGCTCCCCCCTGAAAGACACAAAAAGATGAACCCATAACTCATGCGTGTAATAGATTGTCCAATCTCGCTAAAATAGTGACATATAACTAAAGACAAGTAACTGAAGCCCAGTAATGCAACAACCTGAAACTTGAATAGCTCATGAGAGATGTGCCAGCCTGAGTTCCCCACTTCACAGAGGAAGGCCAGCGTTGGGCTGCCTTACACTGCTCAAGTCGGTCGGAAACTCTGGATCACTTGGGTTACTGATGGAAGTTAGCATCTCTAAGCTATAAGCACTTCTAATGGTGCCATTGCACCATTCTAATTGCCACTTTTAATGGCAACTCTGTGACTGAGAGATTAACAATGATAAAAAAGGAGGCATCACAAATCATCAGATTGTTTTACTTCTAATTACTTTTTCAATGTAACTTTCCTACTATGAACTTTTTGGATGTTGTGAGATTTTCCAGTATTCATAGGTCTCATGCTAATGGACCAGTTATATAGGTAAAAGGATGAACACAGAAGCTTTATTTGGATATTGCAAAACACCCCAAAGCCTTGATGTGCCATTAGGACAATCTCTAAAATTACAGAAAGAATGTCAGGATGA